TTTATCACTCTTGTCTGAAATGTTCCACTGTATGACCTTCTCTATCACTCTATCTTGAATCTATTTAATTATGGGTGTTTTGTTTTTTTTTTTGTTTCTTTTTTTAATTACAAAACTGCAAGCAAGGTCGCCTATCGACAGATCTGACCTGTAACTTGGTCTGCTTGTCTCCATGGAAATACAAGAATTATGTTCAGTGCCATACTGTGGAGTATTCAAGGCAAAGCAATAACATCTCCATGGAGACTAACAAACCCATCCTCATCTGGAAAGTTACATACTACACTGTTAATGAATAATGATACCATGATAAGATTCAGCAGATGTTGTACTGTACTGTTTGTGGTAGTTTTGAGAAATAAAAACCGTAATTGAATAAATGTAAGTGCACCTTTAAGGCGAGACATTGCAGGTGAATAGAAAAAAAAAGTATTACAACATTTCACCATGTAATGATTTTATATAAAAATAAGGCATTTCATGTGTAAAAACAGCCCAAGTTGACCATTTTTAGGATATTAGGACATTTTTGGACAAAACAATGGAAAGAGCCAGGTTTAAATTTCTTGCTCCTTTTTGTTGATATATTAAATATGGAAAAATATACAGAGAGGATTTTGAGATCTTATTTAGTATTTGAGTAAACTAGATCTGACTTGAATAAATCAGACTTAGAATTAGACATTAAAAAAAAATCTTTTGTACAATTTGTCAAAATCTTGTTAAATTTAAGGTTGAAAAGTTTGGAGTCTGTAGGTGTTACTTTAACTGGTGATTCTTATGTCCCTTGGGAGGAAAATGCATTTTGAGAAAACAGCCTTTGAAGTTACAAAGTCCCATATGACTATGACTACAGGTTGATTCAATTAAAAAGTAACATATCTTTCAATTCAGAGTGAAAAAAATTGTTGTTTCCACATAAAAGCTTATATGCCCAGAAACCAAACTGACCAAAACATCTAAAAACTTTGAATGTAGTGTCTCACATTAAATCATGCATGTTTCACCATTGCAATTACTCTATTAATACTTGTTATTGGCACTCTGTTTGCCCTATAATTGACTTTAATTATCTTCAAACATTAGGATCAGATCTTTGCTAGTTTGTCCTTTACCCTACAAGCCCACACAGTCCTCACACCCCATTTAAACATCCTCCCACTGTGGGAAGTGAATGCTCCTTAATTGCGTGTTGTTGCCACTGATAGATTCACCCACTTTAGCCAAGCAGGGTAACTTATTTAATATGCTAATTACACGGCGGGGCATCTGATACACATTATCTTGGCCTGTGGGTGGCAGTGGGGGTTAAAGCATACGCCTCTGCTTAATCTGATGCTAATTGAGCGGCCATGACTAAAGACGATTTCAATCCAAGTCGACAAATAAAAAGTTAAATTGATCAGTGTAGAAAAAAATTCAAGGAGAGGAGAGAAGTGAGAAGTGTTTGCCTCATTAAAGTGCATAAGATGAGCTGGACTACCTGATTCACTAAAACATTGTTAACATAATTATATTTAAAGGGCCCATATTACGACGTTTTCTGATCTATGTTATGTTGTTTCATAATCAAAAACATAGCTGGAGTTGTGTTTTGTTTCATTCACACATGTTTAACACACAAACTGTATATCGTATTTTCAGGACTATTGAGCGCACCTGAGCCACATCAACTCAAATTTTAACAAAATTTTTAAATTGTACATATATAGGCCGCAGGTGTCCACATCTTCAAGAACGTTTTCAAGTTTAGGCCGTCTGCTTTTATCGCCTCTGAAAGCTTTTGTCGTCTTTTTGCATCGAATCAGTTCATCACGCTGCCGTCGCCAAAGTCTCACCATTGACTCATTGATGCCGAGCTCACGTGCAGCAGCTCTGTTTCCTTCTTCCACAGCCACATCAATTGCTGTAAACTTAAAAGCTGCATCATCTGCATTTCTTTGTGTATTTTCCATGAGGAGGGTGTGTGTATGAAGTGCAAAATAACTCTTCAAAACACAATCAAACTAGAATCTTCCTCGGCGCATCACCCCCATCTGTCCCCGCGCTCAACAGTGCTTGACTCCTACAAGAGCCGCTATCCTGTCTTGTCTTCGTGTCAGTGTCATGTAGGATTTCAGCAGATTTCAGAGTCCCTTGGGGGCGGGGCTCGTTCTATCAATCAGGTATGATCAGATACTGACGTTTGAGATATTTCTTCTCGTGTCATTTACACATAGGGGTGAGACGTATCCCCCTCACTAATGTTAATTTAGCATCATAACTTATTTTATCACACGGGGATCATTTGATTTGAGTGAGCTAACAATATCTCTCGCTAGTGTAGCAACTTCATGTGAACCCTCAATCCATGTGTGAACTGCACAGACAGCGGTGTTTTCTGCAATCAGGTTGCATGTATCCACTGTGTTGCCCACCATAGACCATAAATATGAATGGACACTGTGCCGAACAAATAATCCTTCCATATATTAGCTTCAGGGTTCAAATTGAGAGAAAAAAGTAGCGGCTTATAGTAAGTAAGTAAGTAAGTAAGTAAGTCTTTATTTATATAACACTTTTCACAGACATGTCACAAAGATGCTTTACAGAGCATTTTTTCTAGATTCATTATTCTGTTTCTCCACATAACTCCAGAATTTACAGTATTTAGGCTGAGTTTTGGAGATGTAGATAGACTATAATAAATAATTACTCAAACATGTGTGAATGAAACGTAACAAAGCTCTGGGTATGTTTTCGATGAGGTAACAACATTTTCATTTTACATTCCATTTTGTGTATTATAGGACTTTTAAGATTTAACAAAAAAAAAAAAAAACTTATGTCTTGGACATATTCCAAACTGTTACCAAGCAACCAAGGACCAACACTAGTCTAAATAGCACAATAGTTATGATCAGACTAAAACAAATAATTAAGAATCACATTTATAATGTTAAATGACTGATTAAACTGAAAAATGTGTTCTTCCCTTGTAAATTTTCGTTCATTTTGCTGATGAAATAGTTGTTTTTGAACTCAGTGCTTTTTCTTGTATTTTTGTACTTTCCTTTTCAGCTTTTTTCCCCCACAAAGTGCCACTTGACTGATATGAAACTATGATCACTATTTACCACAAATACTATCCCACCAAACCAAGTAATAATTAGAAAAGCAGTTTTTAAGTTTTCAGTAAGTAAGCAAAACATCTGTTATTTATTTCACCACTCACATGCCCCAACCTAGTCATTTCCTCACTAGTGTCACCATGAGAATTATGACTTTCCTAATGTGGATCTTTTGGTATATACTTGCAATGACTGGCGTTCACTGAAATGGAAAATCAAGTCGTGGTAGTATTCCCTTAGAAATAAATGTGAATGAAGAGAATATTACCCAGGAAGTTTAATCAGGTTCATTGAAAGCAAGAGACCATTTCATTTAAGATTTCATTTGAGCTAAACCTCCTTATTACATTTCATATGGATACATTTATTCAAAGTGCTGTGAGGAGGACGGTTTTCAGTATTAGGGAAGGCAGGCTCATGGTCTGTCTAATGCAGCTGTGTTTGTTTATGGTGAGTTTGATTACTCACAAAGAAATAGTCAAATATATGCCTTGGTTAAGTTTAAACTACATGTAAACATACTTTTCATCAAAGCTAAAGTAATTATCGGCATTTATAAAGCTAGATACAAAGATTGAGCTTAGACTAAAACAGGGGTGTCAAACTCAAATTCACAGAGGGCTAAAATTAAAACTGGGACTAAGTCGTGGGCCAGACTAAATAATTATTGAAAAATTTCGACAACATCTGCATGTTTTCTCTTCTTTCAAGATATGTAATATTAAACCTTTTCTTATTTAAATAAATGTTTATTAATAGTTTTGCTTAAACATTGAATCCAGAACAAGCATAATATAAAATAATAACAAAATTTTAAATAAATAATGTCTCTACAGCATATCTGTAGCCGGCTCTACGTGTCTGGACTAAAATAACCCCAAACTGGTTTCACAGAATTACAATGTCAAGTAGGGCTGGGTAATATGACAAAAAAATGTATGATTATTTTTTTATTTTTTTTGTTCCCCCTCATATTCGTTTTTCCCTTAATAAAAAACAAATAAAAATGGCTTTCCATACAATTTTCCTGAGCATGAACAAGACAAATACAAATTTCTACTTTTAAAGTCTGAACACTGACAATTCGAAATGACTGAATCTGTATTAAAACTGTATTAATTGCACAGCCATAGTTTCAGTTATTTATTTTTATTCCACCCATTAGTGCAATACACTTCTTGCACTTAGCTTGTTGGTAGTTTTGGTCACTTTATCAACTCAGTTTAGACAAAAAAATTAAAGGTGTTTTTTTTTTCTTTGTAAAAGGTAATTTGCTACAATTCTTGAAATATAATTTGTCTTATTTTGGAATTCACATAACCAGAGGATTTAGAAAAATAGAAATTGGCTTCTAGCTCATGTTGAAGTTGTTGTTACCAGTGAAATGTTTGGGCACTCTTTTTTAAATTTATGTTTGTTCTTTATTTCCATGATTGTTTACATTATAGATTCTGACTAAAAGCACCAAAACTATGACTGAAAACATGTAGAATGTAGTAAACAAAAATGAACTCAAACTCACTCCAAACTTGTTTTAGATTTATTTTTTATTTTTTTAACCCAACCTTTGCTTTGATCACTGCTTCATACTCTTGACATTTCTTGACCCTGACATGGCACTGCACCTGTGAAGTGAAAACCATTTTAGGAGATTTCATCATGAAGCTCACTGAGAGAAGGCCAAGGGTTTGCAGCGCTTCAATAAAGCAGAGTATGAAGTATAAAAATATTTAGTTTAGTTAATTTATTTTTCTTTTTTCTTTGCTACATAATTGTGTACATTTAGCATCATATATACTGAATGGGAGGATGTGTCCAATACTCTAATAAACCCATACACCATGAAAACCATAAAAGTTCCTCTCCTCACATTTGTCTTCTGTCTCCCAGGATGACCACTGCTAATGACATCGTGGTGTCCATCTGCGTCATCTTTGCCATGTCCTTCATCCCGGCCAGCTTCGTCCTCTTCCTCATCCAGGAGCGCGTCTCTAAAGCCAAACACCTGCAGTTCGTCAGCGGAGTCAACCCCACCGTGTACTGGCTCGCCAACTTCGTCTGGGACATGGTAACTGCAGCGCTTAACTCAAGACATGCAAATTAGGCAACGCACTCAAAGGAAATGTACGTAGGAGTGTTGTCATGATACTAAAACGTTAAATATTTCAATACTAAAGAATGGACTCGACATACCGATTGCGATACCACAATGACTATAAAAAATGCTTAGAGAATGTTTTTTTCTCAGTATCCTCATGTGAAAGCTCAGAAGTCCAACACTGAAACTGGCCCCTCAAAAGAACCAGAACGCCAAGTTATAGCATAAATAAATGGGACATAAGAGGTGGAGCATCCAGTCAAATTGAGAAGGCCAGAACTGACGGTTAAATAACTTTTAATCTTTTCCTTGCCGTGTCATAGAACCAGCATAAGAGCTAGACAAGAATAAAATAACAGAAATTACCATATGATCCCCGTATCACTAGCTCATTACATTGTTTAAGTGTTATAAATTTTCACCGTCCCTTTTGTTTTTCACCATTAACATTGCTGTGTTTACTTTACTTTTCAGTATATCAGGCTAACGTTTTCACCATCACTTCCACTTACACAGGAAGTCGCCAAAATAAAAGCATAACCTTACTATTAAATACCATGGATTGTATGTGAATGAATATAAGAGCTAACTTCACCTTTACATCAGGCAATGTTTTTGTATCACAGCCAATGTTTATGTAATTAAGAATAGATCAGCATTACACCGACAGTGTTACAGTCAGGTCATGTTTATGAAATTAACACTATATAGATTAACTGGAAAATTAAATAACTGTAACATGCACAACAAACATACAATCTGAAATCTGCAGTATGTCTCAGATAAGATAATTTCATTCAAAAATTTGCAACTATTCCTCTTGTAAAAAAATGGATCGTTGCCATAGAACTTAACAAGAATCCATGTGTCATTCGTTCATTTGTTTTTCAATATAAAACTAAAAATAAGGAAACGAACAAACAACAGTTTTCTTCATTATTTGTCTCCAAAACCAAAATGAAAAAAGAGATAATGATTCGTCATTTCAGTTTTCAATTTTGTGTTTAAATGAAAAATGGAAAAAATGGATAACGGCCGTTTTGCGTTTACGTGACTTCCATGACTGCGATGCCGAACTTTGCACTGCATACGGAATGAACCAGGACTGATCCAGGTCCGGGACCAGACCGGGACCAGACCGGGACCCGAGCTTTGACTCCAAGCCTCCGCAGGGTCTGAGCTTCAGCTTCGAGCTCCAGCCCTGTTGTGGGCTCTGAGCCTCCAGTCTGGTCCCGGTGTGGTCCTGGTCTGGTCCTGGTCTGGTCTCAGTCTCAGTTCTGCTCTGGTCCCGGTCTGGTCTCAGTCTCAGTCTGGTCCTGATCTCAGTTCTGATCTCAGTCTCAGACTGGTCTCGGTCTGGTCCCGGTCTCAGTCCCACTATGGTCCCGGTTTCAGTTCTGATCTCAGTCTCGGTCTGGTCTCGGTCTGGTCTCGGTCTCAGTCTCAGTCCCGCTCTGGTCCCAGTCTGGTCCCGGACCTGGATCAGTCCTGGTTCATTCCATATGCAGCACAAACGTTCGGCATAGCAGTCACGGAAGTCACGTAAACTGGAAACGGCCGTTATCCATTTTTTCCATTCTTCATTTAAACACAAAATCGAAAACTAAAAAAACAAATTGTTATCAGTTTTTTTTCATTTTGGTTTTGGAGACAAATAATGAAGAAAACAGTTGTTTTTTCGTTTTCTTATGTTTGGTTTTATATTGAAAAACGAATGAACGAATGATATGCGGATTAACAAGTCCTTATTTCACAATTATTTGATTATTTATCCCTCTTTCTTTTCTTACCTATTATGTTGATAAAACCTGCATTTACTGTAATTGGCTGTATGGCTCTGAGATTGCTGGAGCATTAGAAAAAGCAGTAGATACAGGCCGTCATAATTATCTGCGCTGTCTATCCCTGGTTGGTAGCGTTCGACAGGATTATAGGTCATCCCCCTCCAGCGTAATGGAAGTAAACATTTCATCAGCTACCTTCAGTCAACACACAATAGCACAGCACTCGTCATTATGGTGGGATAAAGGTGTCTTGGTGCACAAAACAAATGCACTTAAGAAGAAAATGTAGTAGGTTGGACCCTGCAGCGATCAACTGTTGAGCTGTTCCAGGGAATCTAGTTACAAAGACGCGTTAATATTTACTTTGAAGGTTAAATAAACAACTACTACCATGTGCAGAGGTGGGAAGAATAACCAAACATGTATTATTTACTTGAAATTAATATTACTCAGGTATAAAGTATTGATCCAATTTAAAAAGTATTTGGGGAAGAGAAATTGTAACAGTGACTATCTGGATGTCACATCTGATTTATAATTTAAGGTTAATGTAATTGGAATAACAATGCTGGAAAAAAATGCACAAAATCCAGTCTTTTGAAAGGATAAACCGCAAACATGAAAACAATCACATGTGAAGGAGGCCTGCAAGAAACACAAATGTCCAAAAAATTATTTCATATAGTCAACATAAAACATTTGTCACTTTTAGACTTGGAAAGAATGGGAATAGTAACTAAAGTAGTAACTAAACATACAACTAAATAGTAACAATAACAGTAAAACACATAGTACTAAACTGGTAGTGTATGTTATCTAAAAAACTATTCTGAGGAGTAGAATTTTATTAAAAAGTTACTCATAAATGTATCATCACTACTCACCTGTGATCCTGTGTACACTAATCTTTGTTTTCCCATTGTTTCTGTTCACAGTGTAACTATGCGATCCCATGCTTCATAGTGATTGTAATCTTCCTGTGCTTCCAAACTAAATCCTATGTCTCTCCTCCTAACCTGCCTGCATTAATCCTGCTGCTCCTTTTGTACGGGTAAGCAGACCGTGTCCTGTAATATTGACTCTTTCATTTTTTTTTATACATGCATGTTTTCAATCTATTAAGGCCCCGCTGTCACTGTTAGCCACACAAAATCTCTGGAATAAATCTAAGTGCAGCGAAATTGATTCAACACAAGCTGCAAACATTGATTTCAATGTTGTGACTGTGGTTTTAATTGAGTTAAAGGTTGCATGGAGCATTGTTTTGAAAAGCCTCTCAAAGCTTGCGTGAAAGATGCCATTATAGGTCACTAAAAACACCGAATTAACAGAAGCTATGCAAATCCATTAACACACTTAACAGTACAACACTAGTTATTACAAAATTTAAATAATTGTAAAATTAAGTGAAACCACTTAAAACCTGAAAGCTGCAGATTTAGTTTCAAATAACAAAAAAGTAGAGAGAAAAAGGAGTCCTCTGATCAAAAGATGGTAATCCATAGATTTCAGAGGGATGAGAAATGAGCACTGTAGCCAGGCTGACGCCACCTAGTGCTCCGCTCAATTTCATTTCTCTCCAGCGACTAGATCAGGAATCGGAATACACTAGACTGTTTGCAAGAACCCCGGAATTGCGAGTGTGGGCACCAGCCAATCAGCGAAGAGCCATACATTTTGTGTTGGCAACGATTCCTGAGATTTAGGATTTAAAGCCGGAACAAAGAGAATGTTTGGTGAATTTTATCAAGGGGAAAGACGTTATTTCCCTTCTTCCTACAGGATTTGGGAAAAGCTTAATATACCAGTTATCCCTGTTAGCGACACATTACATATTTCACGACCAAATAGCAGCGATTGGTTAAATGAAAAAAGTATTTGCCTACCGTCGAGTTAAATTCTAAACACTGCGAGGTCAGACGGTTTCTTACGAGGTGAAAACCAGCTGATGAATCAGGCTAATAGGTATTAACAATTCAAATCAAAATTAGCAAAAGTCCTTAAAATACCAAAATACATTTAAAAAAATGTGCATTGTTGAGTGGGCATGTCTCTAGAGCTGAACTTTTATCTTGGCATGGTGACTACACCTGCTTTTTCCATAGGGATAGGAGAGTTGAATACAATAGTGTGGATCATTGGTTTGGAGACAAGCCCTTCGCTGTGAAAAATTCCTTAGTGCATCTTTACAACTGGCATCTCTGTATGTTATTCTACAAGTAGGGAATACACATTTGAAACTTCACACTTTTTTACCCTTCAAACTAAATGTATAACTGACTTGTTTGACCATTATAACTCACAAGACACTACTTTGTGGCGTTGTTTGCTATTCACAACTTTCCCCAGTTATTTTAGTAATTATTTATTTTTTCTAGATGGGCGATTACTCCGATGATGTACCCCGCGTCCTTCGTCTTCAGCGTCCCGAGCACAGCCTACGTGGTTCTGACTTGCATCAACCTCTTCATCGGGGTCAACGGCAGCGTGGCTACTTTTGTCATGGAGCTTTTAGACAACGCGGTGAGTGATAGACAGACGCCTATTTCACTTTTCGTAACCACTGCCTGACCCTGACATACAGACCCTTTAAAATGCTCTGTCAATCAGAATGTTAAAAACTGTGGAAAAAGCGGTGACTGGAGGCAAAAGTGAAGCAGACCATGATTTTCAATGATTAACTGACATCACATCAAAATGCTAATGGATTTGAAGTCTAATATAAGCTACCAGTTTTAGTAGTTTCCAGGGTCAAAATGTGACTTCATTGCTTTTTTATTACAAATTATGGGGGAAAAAAACTACTATTCTACCCTCAACACTGTATTTGAGCTTCACAGAAAGTATAATTTTTGGTAAAGTATGTAATATATCTGTAGACCACATGAAAAAACTATTGTGCATTAAGTATTTGCCCAGTTCAACCAAAAAGAATTGAGTTTGCCTTCATCAAAACTGGCATCATAATTTCCTTTTAAAGCTACCATCTGTGAGTTTATTTGATTTTTTTTTCACCAGTAGATGGCAGATGTGAAGCCTATCCTCCCCTGAGTGGTTATCATTTGCCAAAACTGTCTTGATTTTTCTAATTATGTGGTAGACTGAGGTTAATCACAGTTTTTTTCATTGAAATTGCATTGTGTTCCACTTGTCTGTTGTCCATCCCAGAATTTAGAATAAACCTTTAAAGGGTCCATGTGCAGACTTCAAAAATGCTATATATTTGAAGCCCATATCACAGCAAACAGCTAATAACTTCGAAAAAGTGTTTTGTAATCGAAAGAAGTTGGTGGATTATGAGCCCACCTGGTATAATTTGCAATATATTTCCTTTATCCTCTTAAGGATTTTTCACACAAAGTGAATTTTCCTATTCTCTTTAATGTTTAATCACATTTTGGAGACTTGGGTCTTGGGAGAACTTTTCCTCATCCATCTTTCAGCGAGTGTTCATTTTAAACTGCATGCCGCTTTGGGTCTCGTGGGAATCAAAAGACAAAGACACCAAAAAGGAGCTAAATAAGAAATGGAGAGGCGTCTGGAGAGGGAGGCTGGGACAGAGCTGTTGACTGTCACTCAGTGGGTTTTTGATTAGGATTTAAATCGTGTTATGTTTTAAAAACGGTGGGAAACCGCTTTGACAGATTTGAAAGCTTAAAAATGTGGAAACTACTGGAATAAAGATAATTTATTTCAATACATAGAACACACATTTGACCCATTTTCAAAACATTACCAAAGCTATACATTTATCTATAAGGAAAGCCACAGCAAACCAGGGGCATAGTAATTTTGTTATGTTTTTGTTTTGTTTTTACCCCAGATGCCCTTCCTTAAGTCACATATAAATCCTAGAAATTATAACCTCCTTACATAAATACCAAAGTTTTGTGACGCTTGTGGGACGAACAAGGTTCTTGGAGGATCACCATGGAGATAGTGCTTCTTTAAGGCTCAGTTTTCTTTGTACAGGGCAATATTGAAAATATAAATGTTTTTAAGGTCTGCAGGTAAGTAATTTAATGTTTACTGTTTTGTAGACTTTGGCTATGTTCAGACTGCAGCCTGAAGTGACCCAAATCAGATTTTTTTGCCCCTATGCGACCTGTATCTGATCTTTTTGTGACAGTCTGTATGACACAGATCTGATTTTTTCAAATGCAACCCAGCCCACTTGGATTGGATATGTGCTCCTAAAACCGATACATATCTGATCTTTTGACATGCTACTTCAGTCTGAACGGCCAGGTCGCATTCATCCCACCTACCCGTCACAAATTTACACAAATGTTCTTCTCGTCATATGAAAATTGTGGATGAACTTCATGTCAGTGAAGCAGAGAAGCACATCACAATCCCACCACTCTCAGCTGTGACTCTGCACCCACGTGTTCCTTTCTATGGACTTTGCTGCCACTGCCCCACAAAATGCCATGGCCAAAAACCTTGTCCTTCTCAATCTCCTCCTTAAAACAAATAAGCTGTATATGTTCTGGCTCTGATACGACAGCAACTTTAAAATCTCCAGGTGCTCAGTGCTAGTGACCATGTTTAGGCGACTTCTGTCAACACTGAGCATGCAACACATGGAGATCACATAGAAGTTATAATTTAATTGGAAATGTGAACAACCTCGCATAAAAATTTGATTTCACAAAAAATTTTAATTGAGCATTAAGCCCTGCAGTCTGAGCATAGCTTTAGTCTGTAGTTTTTTCTTCTATGTTAACAATTTTTGATACAGTAATTTTATATTAGACCATGAATTGTCTGAAAATGAAATTGTACGCATTATTGTATTATAACACATTTTTAATAATCCCCACAAACGAATTGGTTTTAAATCTTCTTGAGTATTTCTATCTCGGCTTTGCTCAGTGATTGCACTTGGTTGAAGTCAACAACGTGTGTCAGTTTGAAACAAGCTGCTGCTACATTTGAAGTGTCATTTTGGAGTGTTCCTGCTTTGTGAAGGGACTTTCCACTTCTCCCCTCACGTCTCATTCTGCCCCGATTCCGGCACAAGCATTTTCCTCTGCTGCCACAAGGGGCACCGGCAACATGTCCCCATTATGTCCCCGTTGGACCATAGAGCCGTGTGCAGTGGGTCAGAATGTTGAGTCACCCGTACTGCAACAAACTCACAAAGAAACAAAGCACACATTTTCTAAAGGTTTCAACACATTGTACTCTAGTGTTTTGTTGCGTTGTCAGAATTCAGATACTAATTGATACTGACCCTAATATTGTAATTTAATGATACTGAAAAAAGAAAACAAAAGGGACAATGTTGAATCTATCCTTTGTAATTGTTTTTGAGCTTTATGAGAACTAGTATAAGCCCACATAATGAAATTAAGTACTGTATTTTTTGGACTGTAAGTTGCTCTAAATTATAAGTTGCACCATCCAAAAAATGAGTAATGAAAAAGAAAAAAACATGTAAGTCGCACAGGACTATAAGTCACACTTTTCGGGGTAAATTTATTTCATAAAATCAGAGACCAGGAACCAACATTTCATCTTGAAACGCAAGTTATAGTAATAACAATAGAATAGAGAACAACAGGCTGTTAATGTCACATATGAACAGTTATTCGGATAAATATAGCATAAACAACAGAACGAGTTTACCAAACTCTTCATCTCACTCCAAATCACTAAATCTACTGAATTCTTCATCCTCTGTGTCACTTCTGAGCAACTCCGCGACCTCCAGAGGTAAACGGAGCGACATTTCCTCTTCTGTGTATCTGTCGCTAGACTCAGAATCAGTTCCAGTTAGAATTATTCCAGTCTTTCTGAATCCCGACAGGATGGTTTCGGTTGTCACTGAAGTCCAGGCTTTGTCAATCCATCCATGTACCCGCCCCGTTGTCACAAGTCTCTTGCTCACTCCAAACTTTCTTTCTGCTGCTCGATTACCGTTTTTGGCTGCCTATTTCATTACTTGCAGCTTGTAATCATAAAATATGATTTTCTTTTTCGGGGCATTTGAGTTCAGTCTTCTCAGTTGTCTTTTTAAGTTTATTTAAATTGGTACAGAAGTAATGGTGCGATCGACTGACACGATACCAGACAGGACAGCAGCTCTTTCTTCAAGAAACATGAGCAGTAGAGCGAAGTGACAGTGGTACAGGAGTAATAGAACTAGCAGTTGCTGACACACAAGCCTAGAGCGCCCTCTTGAGGCTGTCATTTTAGTCACAGGATCACCCAAACCATGAATAAAAAGTGCAAATTATAGTCCAAAAAATATATTGGGTAAATATGTCTTATTTTGTGTTGTATTAATTATATTATAGTGTGTGAATTGGAATTTCAAGCTCTAGTAACTTCTTTACATGTATCACTGTCTGATTACATAAATTATTATACAATATTTTTACTTTTTAACATAAGGGAGACACTCTCATGAAAGGGGTGGTTTTGATCCTTTCACAGATTTGTGTATTTCTTTATCCATTTCCACTTAATGAAATGCATTTTGGCAACCACATTTGGATCTCTTGTGCACACACTATTAGCAGAGGTTCTTGTACCAAGGTGTAATCTGCAAATCCATCACCACAAATATTGGCTTGTTTGTATTGGATTTAGAAATATTGCCCATTATTTATTCTCAGTTTATGTGGGAGCTCTTATCCCAATCCTTCTTTTTACCACTACAGAAAACTGCCAACTCAGCATCTCTCCTTCTCTCCACTGAAAGCTACTCTGTCCATTTTATAAGCTTATGTACCTACTGTATTGATTTTCATATTAGTCACTCATTGCGCAATTACTCCTACTGACACTCTTACACTGGTTATTTTTGTCTTGTCCTGTTTCCTGTTTTAATAACGATAAAAATGTAGAACAGTTAACAACTTAAAACAAAAATATATCTTTTGAATAGGAAACTTCAGTGAAACCCATGACTATGCAGCATACCAAGATTTAGATCGTTGGAAAGGATTATTTTTAGTGGTTCAATTCCAGCTCCTAATTCTGAGTTTGTACTGTGGTTGTGTTTTTTTTGGCAAGTTAAGTGGTTCCTTGATGTAACACTTTAAGTAGAAAAACACTATTAATGTGAGTTTGTATATGGTCTGGATATGATCTTAAATGTTGGATATAGTCTCCACAAGTCACTTATTTTAATTGGGCAACAAAAATGTACTTTACTAATTGATTTGGTTTTAGTATTTGCTTTATTCTATTTTGGTTTTAGCCAGCAACACTATGACCTTGACAAAAATATATTTTAGGTGACAAAATGAACAGTGGCCAGATAAATCCCTTATATTTATTATCTCTGCAAGAATGTGTTGTATTGATTAACTTGCCACATATTGCTGTTGGGAGAAAGCCTTGGAGGGAGATAGAGAGTTCATTTCAGGCTGCGTTCGTCCTGGATAATGCCCTAATCTGAGCAGATCCCTGGGCTGATATCAAACTCAGTGGGTCAGCATCAATCAGCGCCTCATGCCAAATGGTAAAACTCCAGATACTCGACGAATATATCGACTAACTTTCCCCGC